ATCCCTTGTTATTATTTGCTTGGTGTGAAAGGCTCCAGTAAAACATATACATATGTGTGTGTGTGTATGTGTGTGTGTGTGTGTGTATATACATATAATATATATATATATGTGTGTATATATATATATATATATATATATATTTTTTTTTTTTTTTCCATTACGAGTCCCACCAATTAGAGACTTATTTTAATGAGTAAGCTCCAGGGAAGGCTAAGTGATGGCACCTTAGTGGGAATTACTTTAATCAGCTAATCAGACTGTTTTCCTCTTGACACATAGTTGAGATCAAGGAGAGAATGGGAATTGTGATGGCAGAATCTAGAGACAAGAAAAGAAAACAGGATGGGGTTGCATTCCAGTGGGGGCCAGAGGACAGCTTGAGGGCTTTGGCTGTTAAGAGCTAAACAGGAGGGGTACTAAAGAAACCTGCCCTGGGTGTACTTTCACCTAGGCACCACAGACCACAGCCAACACTCTCTTTTGCACTGTTTTTTGCAAAAAAATATATAGAAGCATTCAGGAGGGTGTCTCATTAGCTAGAAAGGAGATGATGTAGTCTGTCACACATCCTTGATGTGCACCCAGTTGTCTCCTTTTCCCTGGTGTCAACCCACTTTCATCCCTTTCCCAACAACTACCCCTCCTCACCTGATACTTCCCTATAGTAGGGTGCCTAACAATCTACATTCCAGTGCCCTGTCTGCCCCTACCAGCCCTGTGACCTTTGGCAAGGTGCTAACCTTTAGGTTATTTTTCTGCAATAAACATGGGAATAGTTGCCTCTCTTAGGATTATAATTAGCAAGAGAGGCCACGTATGTAGAGTGCTTTCCAGAACAGCAGGCACTCGGTAAGTGTCCCATAACATTAGCTGTTAGTATGAATAAGAATTATGTCAGAGGGCCGGCCCGGTGGCGCACTCAGTAGAGTGCGGCACTTGGGAGCGCAGTGGCGCTCCCGCCGTGGGTTCGGATCCCATATAGAGACCGGTCCACTCACTGGCTGAGTGCAGTGTGGGCGTGACACCGAGGGTTGCGATCCCGTTGCCAGTCGCAGTACGGGCGCGACACTGAGGGTTGCGATCCCGTTACCAGTCACGAAAAAAAGAGACAAAAAGGAAAAAAAAAAGAATTATGTCAGAGACCATTCATTCTTTCAGGATATAGTTGCATGCCCGGGCCCTAATCTGGGAGCTGGGGACACAGCAGTGAAAAAGTAAATGTCCCTGCTCCTGTCATGTATTATTACTTAATAATCATTTAATCTTCTATCAAATAATGTGTAATTTGTCCTAAATAGCTCTATGAGTGCATACAATAAAAAAGAAATTCATTTTTCAAAATCTGAAGTTTCAAAGTTACAGAAATTCTTGGAATGGGCCGTGTGGGTCAGTGACACATATAGAGTAAATTCTCAGTAAATGTTTGTATTAATGATATAAGGATCTCATGATGATCTCTAGTTATTTTAAGAATGCCTCGCTTCTCCAGTTATCTTGTAAGTTCTTCAAGGAGTGGGTCTGTAGTACACTTTGTAAAACCTCTTAGCACACCTAACGATGTACCCTCCTTCTGTGAACCAAGTATTAAGAGCTTCACAAGTACTTGCTTTATAAATGCCTGAATGAATGAACACCCAGAAAGGTGTTCCCTCACCAGAGTTAGCTGTTGTCCTAACTATCCTCTCTCACCCACACTACACTCCAACAAAAACACAAAAACACACACTCACAATCATGCAAAAAAGTGTTTTCAAGGTGTTCCCTCACCAGAGTTAGCTGTTGTCCTAACTATCCTCTCTCAGCCACACTACACTCCAACAAAAACACAAAAACACACACTCACAATCATGCAAAAAAGTGTTTTTTCCCCAATTTAAAACATAAATTGCATAGTAGACATAATGTTAAAATGAAATTTAATATACAAAACTTAACTTTTGTGAGAAGCTTTTACAGCACGCCACTGTCCTATGTAATGAGCAAAACCATCTTTTATTCTCCCGGCTCCCTTAAATCATTGGGTTATTACGACTCTTTAGATTAGATACCTTACATCTCCCTTTTCAGAATGTTTTTTATGCTCAGAATTCCTATAAATTCATATTAGGTCTTTATTTATAAAGAGCAAAAAAGTCAAACTAAAAGAGAGAAAGGAAATCCACAACCAAATGAACAAAAATGATGACTTCATTACTCATTTTAACTTTTCATGGTTGCTTTTAAACAAAAAAATCTTTGGTTAGGTTTTGTCAAAAATAGAGTCTGGAGATGACCAAAGATAAGGAGAAAGGGGATTCTGAAAATTCAGAAAAGTAATCCAAAGGGAAGTAGTTATTAGAGAAGGGAAATGATAGAGCCTCTCAGGATCTTGCTTTATTGTGATAAAACAGGAATGACCAGTGAAGTGACCTAGTCATATGAGAAGATTCTGGGATGAGAAAAACCGGAGCACCATCTCTATGCACGATCATTTGCACAATATCTGTTTTTTTTTCTTGAGAAGCTACTTCAGAGGCTACTGTACCTAGTTTTTACTCTTCCTTTCTCTTAAATGGCCATTGGGCCTGCTCGGGAGAGATATTACGAACACTCAGCTACAGCCAGGGGTGCAAAAATTTGCAGGTTCCTCCTTGAGAACCATGGTCCCCAGCAAGGGCAGCCCCACAGGCAGAAAGCTGGCAAATGCACAAAGCCTCAGGGCCCATGTGTGGCCCTTTGTGGACATTCCAAAAGTGACAATCCCCTGGACATACCATCCTAGTTTAATTAGGTTATGTAAAGGATTTTAAAATAAAATAGAAATATGCTAGAACACACATTAAATTACCTGAATTTCTGACTTTTATGTAAGTGTTACTCCAAGGAGGTTATGGAGCTTGGAACACATGTAGATGCTTCAGGTCAGAACCATCCTCCCTGATTCTGTGAGTGGCATGGCAGAGGGAAACTGTGCTCCTTTCCAATCCCCTGGACCCTGCCATTTTCCCCACCTCTTGGTGATTGGGACATGGGGGTAGGGGGTTGAAGCAGTCTCATTGGTGCAGATTTATTTTACATAGTTTCTTACACTAGGGCACTTCAAAAAGTTCACAGAAAAGTGGAATTAAAAAATAATATGAATCTTTCCATGAACTTTTTGAAGATGCCTTGTAGATGTTGTTTCAGGATGTTTCCAAACTTTAAAACCTATAACCAAATAGATTTTTACTCTGGAGTTACATTTAAGGAAAAACATGTTCTTAGCTTATTTCCTGGGTACCTGGGGAGCTCTCTGCTGGGTGGAAGGCTTCAGAGAGGCAGTTTTGGCAGAATACACACACCGGGCAGTCACCCAAGCTCCTTTATCACCAGCTGTGCAGCTATGGGCATATCACTTAACCACAAGGAGGAGCGTTAGTTCCCTCCTGAGTTTTCACTAGATCAGTGGTTCTCAAACCTTGGTATGTCTGGGGTGTTTATTTAAAAATGAAGGATCATGGGCCCCAGATCTAGAGATTTTGACTCAGTAGGTCTAGGGAGGGTTCAGAAACCTGCATCTTTAATAAGCACCCCACTGTGCACCACACTTTGAGGAACACTGGACTAACTGATTTGGAAGATCGCTTCCAGAACTAACATTCTAAGATTCTGAGAATTCGTCCTTTTCTTTAGTAACCAATATTAGACAGCCTGGCACTCGCTGGATGTCTGTGTGTCCCATGGTAACGTTGGTACCCACCACAGGGGGCAGGGACTGCGTGTCAGCATCTGCGCTGGGCAGCAGAGGGAAGGCAATGGAGTTGACTGGGCTGTTGTTCCTTCGCTCGTGAGAACACTAACATCCTTTTGTCTCTGATGTCCAGGTGACAGGTGGAGTCTGGAATCTCAGCCGCGTTTGCTGCGATGTTTTTGTCTCCCTGGATGTCATGATGTGTACAGCCAGCATCCTGAACCTCTGTGCCATCAGCATAGACAGGTAGGGCTGGGACTCCCCTTCCAGGCTGAGAGAAAGGTGGCCCGAAAGGGGGAGAAGGCAGGACATAGGCTTGCATTGGAGGGCACTTGAGTCACTTCTAAGTAGAACTTGCCATTGGGACATTTTCTTTCCTCTCTTTTTCTTTTAAAGTATGGTTTGCGGGAGAGAAGAAACCCCTATAACAGGAGAAAAATAACTATCCTGTATGCTTTCCTAACCTTCTTCTCCTCCAGCCCCTGAAGAGGATTCTGATTTTGCTTTTTGGCCATCTTTTGGGGCTTTTGTGATTCCTAATAGGAAGGAAGGGGGGAGGGGAAGAGGCCAAAAGGTGAGCTGACATGGGTTGGTAGGAAATGATGTGGTTTGTTTTTGGTGAAGAGAGGGATGAAGGAGAGGTGTGTGGGAGAAAGAGGGAGAGAGGGATAGGCATGGGTCTATTTTCCAGGAGGGAGAGACGAGAGAAGTGGATGGGGGAAAAGGCAATTTTAGAGAGCATGGCTGTGATACCTCATAGAGTTTCAGAAAAGCAAGTAAAAAATGATATGTTTTTTAAAATTGCTTTTTGGTTGCGGGAATGGATTTCTGTGACTTTAATTCCACTATATGTGTGTTTCACCTGAGAAACATCACTCAGTCCCCAGGAGTACCCGAATTCACTGCCCTCGCTATGTTCTTCGTCTCCGCTCCCTTTTGGTCTTCCTCTCCCTTCCCCCTTCCTCTGCCTTCAATTTGTCAGGGCTCCCACAAGACAGTGAGAGCCCTGGAGAAAGGGGTCACGTTGGAGCCTATGGCCTCTGGTGCTAGCCAGCCTTTCCTTTTCTGAGTCCTCCCTCCACTTTCGCTTCTTCTCTTTCTACACTTTCTTCCAGTACCATCCATCCACTCCATAGGTCCAACAGGTGACCTCAAATATAGGATCTGCTAAGGCTTTGACACACATTAACTCATTTCATCTTCACAATGGCTTCATTTCCAGCTTCTTAGAATAATAAAGGAATTTACCCAAAGTCCCACAGCTAGTATGGGGCCATACCAAGATTTGAATTCATGTCTACTTAACACCATGTTAATATCTTACATTTTGTGCTAACCTCCCCAAATCTCCAGCGACACCCCCACCTTCTCCCCTGAGTTACAGACCACATTACTGTCTAGTTATCCCATTGGTGCCTATAACGCAAAATGTTAAAAATAAACCCATCAAAGCCCCACACCATCTTGACTTGATGATCTTTTACTGACACCATCTTTCTTCTGGAATCCTGGGTTTTGTTTGACTCCTCTCTCTTCCTAATCTCCCACACCCAAGCAGTCAATGTTTATTGACTCTACTTTTGCAATTTTTTTCAAATTTACCTGTATTTTTCCTTTCTTGTTGCTCCCCATTTACTTTAGGCTCCTATGACTTCCTGCCCGAACTTCTGCCACAGCTTTCTAACTGGTCTGTCCCACCACTGTCACTTATACACCAGAAGTAAAGCCCTAATGTCCACTGCCCTGCTCAACACCCTTCAGTGTCTCCTTGGCCTATGGAATAAAAGTTAAAATTACCTTCACAGCCTGGAATTCAAAGTTCCACAATATGGCCATCTCATCTCTTTCTGGCTGCCTTTACCCTTCTCATGCTCAAAGATCTCTCACAATAGCCCCTTTTCCATAAAGCCCTTCCCAGTTCCTACAATTTAATTCCATCACCCCTGAATCCTCACAATGCTTTCTCTGTACTGCCTTTTCTAGAGGTCCTAGTGCAGTCACCTTCACGTGACCCAGTGTTGTGGCATCTAGAGCAACAGCCCTCAATGTCCTTTCATGTGCTGAAATGGGAATTTTGAACAGTAACCAAAGCATGAACATGAAACCCCTGTCTTATGGTGATACTGCAAACCAACTGTATGAGCTTTTTACTTATATTACTTGAGTGGCTATCCAACTGAGAAGGAAAATTGAAGAACATATCCAAAATGCTGGAAATAATACCATTCAAGAATGTGTTTAAAAATAGAGGGTTACGGTTGCACAATTTTGTAAGTTGTACACTCTAAATGGATGAATTGTGGGGGTTGTGAATTATTTCAATAAAGCTCTTAAAAATGGAAGAGCCAGAGATTTTCTAATTTTTTAGCTCTAACATTTAAGTCTTATGTAATTTCTGGACACTTAGTACATAATTTCTGAAATATATTATTTACAGAAGTAGTGGCTGCAGCTGGTTTGCTTTATCCTCAACTCCACCACCCTAAACCCTTACAGGAGACCTAGCTTCTTACCACCTGCAAATCTCCCTGCTGTGCCTATGACAGAGCCTTGAACAAAGAGTATTAAACTGAACGCAGTGGCTGCCTGAGGGTAGCTAATGTTCTTACCACAAATGGTCACCCTCAGGAAGGACATGAGAGGATGGGAGAAGAGATGCATAAAGAGTGTCTAGAGAGGGTCTGGGACAGCCCTCTCCCAGCCCTCCTAGCTCCTGACCCTCCTCTCTACCCTCTTGAGAGTATGCCTATACACCCCACTCACGTGCATTCATACACTGCGGTTGAGGCTGTGCAGGTGTTGAGACGGAATTCAGCCAGTGCTTCATTTGCCACAGCTTGAATCAGCCATGAGAGAGTGCTTTTTCGTAATTTGCCAGCCAGGAGGGCCGACAAACCTACATGAGAGCACCATTTCACTGACCCACACTTCTACTCTCACCACTTAAAACAGAACCAACAAGAATAAACCTTGAGTTGACTTCTATCCCATATAGGAAAACTCCTAGAATGCATAGCACTCACCTACCTGAAACCTGAGGGTCGAGCTACATCTTAGATCCCAATGGAGGAGGCTCACTTCTGGGCTTGAATTTCTGTAGTGGTCACCAGCCCTCAAAACGGAGCCTCCTCCCTATTCTATATATGAAAATAGGCCTTGGAAAAGCTGTGTCCATTTTCCTTCTCAGAAGTTTGCAGTACACAGCATTAAATTCTGTTCATGTGATGGCAAATAGCTGGTCAATTCATTTAAAATGCTGTAATTCACACAGACCTTTGGTCTTTACACAATGCCAGTCACCAGCCTGACAAACTTGACCAAATGGATTGAGTATTTTTTGGTCATGAAGCCCTGGTCTGTAATAACAGGGTGGTAAGAGATAGGGAAGAAAAGGAAATGATAAAAGGCTTTTGAAAGCAAGTAATACTATTGTCATTAGATTCCTAGGCAGAGCTGTGGATGCCTGGATAATGCCGCCTTTTCTTTCTAAAAAGCAGAGTGGGAAGTCTTCTGCACACAAGCACCCACCCCCTTGGCTCCTTGCCTCCCTAGCAGGCCAGCCCCCTCCCATCACATCCTGGGTCAGCACTAACTGTGGGGGAAAGGGCTGAGAATGTGTCAGAAGAGGAGGACACGACCAAGCGGTGAGAATTAGAGTCCTCCGCAAGGAGCCCAGGAATAATGCAACCGAATCCATTCACCAGGGAGTTCTTTAAGTGGCTCTCACATGGCACCCATCACACAGGCAAGCCTCCGCGTCTTTGCAGCGAGCACAATAGGTACCAGATGAGTCACAGGCACCTTGGATTTTTAGTTTGCATCTAAATAAGCACTTTATATTTGCAAAGGGCTTTCCAGTCATTTGCAAAAAGCTTTCTCGTTCAACAAGTCCACGAGGGGAGTCCACAGAACTAAGGATTTATTGAGCCCCCTGTCTGACCAAATAAAAGGTGGTGAAAAGCAGCCTTCACAGAGCCCTGGGGCTCATTAAGCCCAGGCGGGGAGTTAGAGTCAGGCCCTCCCACCCAGGCCAGTGTCTTTCCTCCCGCCCTGCCAGCTTCCTGAAGAGGCACCCTCATCAGTTCCCCGCCCCCCCAACACACATCTCCACCCTGAGACAGGGCTCCAGGGTGGAGGTGGAATTCTGCAAGGGTATTGAGACCTTCTGAACCGTGACAAGCCATGCAGACCCCACTCACAGAATTGGGAGTCAGAAGGCAACACACATCTCCACCCTGAGACAGGGCTCCAGGGTGGAGGTGGAATTCTGCAAGGGTACTGAGACCTTCTGAACCGTGACAAGCCATGCAGACCCCACTCACAGAATTGGGAGTCAGAAGGGGAATCATAGTTAACTCACTTGAACAGAAATGTTCAATATTTGCATAGGGTCCTGTAGCCGTTTTAGCACAAGGTGTGGGATTAGAAACTGAGTCTCCCGTGCTCAGTTTTCTGTCTGTTTCAGTGAGTGTCCCCTTCACGGGTGGAGGTGGGAATGGGACACTAAGGAAGGGCTTCTGGCCAGGCTGGCAGCCCACCTCTATAGCTGCAATTTTCTTGAAGTAAATGGAGACATTTCCTATATCTTCCATGCCCTGGCTATCACTGTGCTAATCTAACTTGCATGAGACTAGAAGCAACAACAACAAAAATAAAAACAGCTACCATTTATTTAGCCTGTACTATGTGACAGGCACTAACAGCTTTTCATTTATTATTGCTAACCTTCACAACAACCTGGCAAGGCAGGTGTATTATCCCCATTTGACAAATAAAGATTCCGAGGCTAGAATGAGCAGGTCGGCTTGCCAGGCTCGCACAGCCAGTAGGTACAGGAGTAAGGGCTCAGTTGGCTTCTTTCTACTACAGCACACTGCCTTACTCAGAGATGCTGAGGTGCCAGCCGCTTTCCCGGCCCCCTAGCTCTGGAGTCGTACAGCCTGGCCAAAACCCCAGGCTGCATGGCTTGATAGCAAATGTGACCTTGGGCAAGTCAATTAACCTCTCAGGTCCTCAGTTCCCTTATCTGTCTAGCAGAGGTAATAGCAACTACCTCAAAGGGTTGTTAGGAGGATGAAATGGGAAGACAACCATAAACTCACCGAGATGAATAATCACTGATCTCTCGGGCTAGCACAATAATAATGACAACAACAATAACAAATAGTCTTTTCAATGTTTAATATGTACCAGGCATTTTGCTAAAGAACTTCACAGAGATAATCTCAGTCAATATTTATAACAGC